ACTACCAACACTGGGGTTAACATTTCAACATTAGCCGGGCACAGTGGCTCACACCTGTAATCCCAGCACTTTGGGAGGCTGAGGTGAGCAAATCACCTGAGGTCGGGAGTTCGAGACCAGCCTGACCAACATGGAGAAACACCGTCTCTACTTAAAAAAAAAAAAGAAAAAAAAATTCAACATGAGATTTGGAAGGGATACACATCCAAACCGCATCAACCCCCCCACCAGACCTCTCTCTGTGACTTCGTGCATCTGCCTCCAACCATCTTGTTGCATCTCTGTGCATTTGGGTTTCTTGGTTTCTGCAAAGTGACAGGACCAGCCTTCTGTCTTGCTTCAAGTCCAGCCATCACCCTTCTATGGCTGGAGGAAGAGAGAGAAGAAACTTAAGAGGGAAAAGCTGTGGAGAGAATTGAGAAGGAGAAGCTGATGTAGCAATGGCTCATGCTTTCTCTCTCCTACTTTCTCTCTTTTAAAACTTTTTATATGCCAGAATTGGTTCCAAGCATTTTACATGTGTTAGCCCAGTTTATCCCAAGAGTGATCCCACAGGAGGGCAAGTAAGTGGTGGCTAAGAACACAGACTTGAGCGGGGCACTGTGGCTCACACCTGTAATCCCAGAACTTTTGGGAGGCCGAGGTGGTATGATTGTCTGAAGTCAGGAGTTCGAAACCAGCCTGGGCAACACAGCAAGACACCTGCCTCTATTTTTAAAATGTTAAAAATTAGCTGAGCATGGCAGTGCCCAAATACCGCATGTTCTCACTTGTAAGTGGGAGCTAAATATTGAGTGCACGTGGACATAAATATGGGAACAGTTGACACTGGGGACTCCAAAAGCAGAGAGGGAGGGGGGGCAAGGGTCGAAAAAATACCTGCAGCTACTTAGGAGGCTAAGGCAAGAGGATTACTTGAGCCCAGAAGTCTGAGGCAGCAGTGAGCCGTGATCGCACCACTGCATACCAGCCTGAGCAACAGAGCAAGACCCTGTCTCAAAAAAACAAAACAAAAACAACACAGGCTTCCTCAGCCTCCTGAGTAGTTGAGATTAAAGGCACCCACCACCATGCCTGGCTAATTTTTGTATTTTTAGTAGAAACATGGTTTCGCCATGTTGGCCAGGCTGGTCTTGAACTCCTGACCTCAGGTGATCACTGACCTCGGCCTCCCAAAGTGCTGGGAATACAGGCGTGCGTCCCTGCGCCTGGCCCTGCCCTGTTTTCTAATCCCAGCTTCATACCCATTGGTTGCATGATCTTGAGCAAGTTGCTAGGATGTCTGCCTCAGTTACCCTCATTGGTAGACAGGGAATGATGAAAGGTGTTTGCACATGGTAGGTGGACACTCAGTTTTTTTTACAGCTGAGAGAGCAGAGGTTCAGAGAGAAGCTACTCCCAAAGCTCACGCAGGTAGTCAATGGCTCACCGAGAGTGGACCTGGGCAGCCTATTGGTCTGGCTGCTCTGTCCCGCCTCTCCGTTGCAGAGATGATATGGAGAGTGGGAAGGTGCTGAGATTTCAGTTCCAGGAGGGATGTGGGTCCAAAGCCCTGTTAAATGCCCCCTCCCATGGCCACAGATGACCAGACCTACAGGGGCAGGAGGCAGGTCTGAAAGTGAAGGTGTATGAATTCAGCTCAGTTTTGGAAACTGAGGATTGTTCATTACTGGGTATGTACTCAAAGGAAAAATAAATTATTCTACCCCCAAGACACCTGCACTTGTATGTTTATTGCAGCACTATTCACAATAACAAAGACATGGAACCAACCTAGGTACCCATCAATGGTGGATTAGATAAAGAAAACGTGGAACATGTACACCATGGAATACCATGCAGCCATAAAAAAGAATGAAGTCAGCCAGGTGTGGTGGCTCAGGCCTGGAATCCCAGCACTTTGGGAAGCCAAGACAGGGGGATCATGAGGTCAAGAGATCAAGACCACCCTGGCCTATGTAGTGAAACCCCATCTCTACTAAAAATAAAAAAATTAGCGAGGCATGGTGGTGCGCACCTGTAGTCCCAGCTACTCGGAGGCTGAGGCAGGAGAATCACTTGAATCCAGGAGGTAGAGGTTGCAGTGAGCTGAGATTGCACCACTGCACTCCAGCCTGGGCGACAGAGCAAGACTCCATCTCAAAAAAAAAAGAAAAGAAATCATGTTCTTTATGTTCTTTGCAGCCATGTGGATGCAGCTAGAGGCCATTATCCTAAATGAATTAACACAAAGACAGAAAACCAAATACCACATGTCACTTATAAGTGAGAGCTAAACATTGAGTGCACATCAACATTAATATGGAAACAGTTGATACTGGGGACACCAAAAGCAGAGAGGGAGGGAGGGGGCAAGGGTTGGAAAAATACCTATTGGGGCCAGGCACGGTGGCTCACGTCTGTAATCCCAGCACTCTGGGAAGTCAAAGCAGGAGGATCACTTGAGGTCAGGAGTTGGAGACCAGCCTAGCTAACATGGCAAAACCCCGTCTCTACTAAAAATATAAAAATTAGGCCGGGTGCGGTGGCTCAAGCCTGTAATCCCAGCACTGTGGGAGGCCGAGGCGGGTGGATCACGAGGTCAAGAGATCGAGACCATCCTGGTCAACATGGTGAAACCCCGTCTCTACTAAAAATACAAAAAAAAAAATTAGCTGGGCATGGTGGCGCGTGCCTGTAATCCCAGCGACTCAGGAGGCTGGGGCAGGAGAATTGCCTGAACCCAGGAGGCGGAGGTTGCGGTGAGCCGAGATTGCGCCATTGCACTCCAGCCTGGGTAACAAGAGCGAAACTCTGTCTCAAAAAAAAAAAAAAAAGAAAAAAATTAACCAGGTGTGGTGGTGCACGCCTGTATTCCCAGCTACTAAGGAGGCTGAGGCAAGAGAATTGCTTGAGCCCAGGAGGTGGAGGTTGCAGTCAGCCAAGATTGTGCCACTGCACTCCAACCTGGGTGACAGAGAGACTCAGCCTCAAAAAAAAAAAAAAAAAGGAAAAGTAAAAGAAAAACTACCTGTTGGTTACTATGCTCGCTTCCTGTGTGACGGTTTTATTCATACTGCAAGCCTCAGCACTATACAATATACCTTTGTATATTGTACCCCTTGAGTCTAAATTTTTTTTTAAAGTCAGGTTAGTGATAATTTTTTATTTGTAACTTTTCTAATATTTAATTTTCAATTTTGCTAAATTCAAAAGTACAACCACTTTAGAGTAAATAGCACACAATGTTAACAATGATAACTCCAGGTGAGGGTTATGGGAGTTCACTGTTATATATAAATATATATGTGCAATTTTTTTTTTATATGGAGTCTCTCTCTGTCACCCAGGCTGGAGTACAGTGGTGCGATCTCGGCTCACTGCAACCTCTGCCTCCCGGATTCAAGCGATTCTCCTGCCTCAGCCTCCTGAGTAGCTGGGATTACAGGCACGTGCCACCACACCCGGCTAATTTTTGTATTTTTAATAGAGTTAGGGTTTTACCATGTTGGCCAGGCTGGTCCTGAATTCCTGACCTTGGGTGATCCACCTGCCTCAGCCTCCCAAAGTGCTGGGATTACAGGCATGAGCCACCACACCCAGATAGAGTTCACTTTTTTAACCTTATTGTTTTAACTTCCCTGTAGATTTGCAAATTTTCAAAAGAAAAAAAGGCGTGGGCATAGTGGCTCACACCTGGAATCCAGCATTTTGGGAGACAGAAGTGGATGGATCGTTTGAGCCTAGGAATTCAAGACCAGCCTGGACAACACAGCGAACCCCTGTCTCTACAAAAAGTTTAAAAATTAGCTGGGTGTGGTGGTGGGTACCTGAAGTCCCAGCTACTTGGGAGGCTGAGGCAAGAGGAATTCTTGAGCCCAGGATCTCAAGGCTGCAGTGAGCAATGATTACACCACCGTGCTCTAGCCTTGGTAAAAGAGTTAGACTTTGTCTCAAAAAAAAAAAAAAAGAAAAGAAAAGAAACAGGACTTTGATGGCAAATATGGACATAATCAAGTCTCAAGTGTAGCGGATTTTTCTCACAGGAGAGGCTAGGAGGGGATGGCTAAGAAGCGGCATGGTGCCTGCAGGTGCTCAGAGCGTCCAGTAGAGGGAAGCAGAGTCCAGGCTCTGTCTCATGTTAGGTTTTGAAGCGGGTGGCCCATGGGAGGGACCTTCAAGAATACAATGAGTCCTGAGCGGCATGGCTGGAATAATAATAATTTTTAAAAAGCATCCTAGGAATATTAAGAAGGACAGCGACGAAAGAGCCTTTAGAAACAAACTAGTCCTTATTCAGCAGAAGGCAAGACTGAGTCTAAATAGATTTTTCCCAAGGAGTTCACGAGAAAACTGGAAATGGAACCTAGGTGTCTTTAGATGCATGGAAAGAAATAGCCGATTTTCAGAAGGAGAGCTTGGAAATTTTGGTTTTCTTTTTCTTTTTCTTTTTTGAGACGGAGTTTTGCCCTTGTTGCCCAGGCTGGAGTGCAGTGGCACAATCTTGGCTCACTGCAACCTCCACTTCCTGTGTTCAAGCAATTCTCCTGCCTCAACCTCCCGAATAGCTGAGATTACAGGCATGTGCCACCACACCCAGCTAATTTTGTATTTTTAGTAGAGATGGGGTTTTTCCATGTTGGCCAGACTGGTCTCAAACTCCTGACCTCGGGTGATCCGCCCACCTGAGCCTCCCAAAGTGCTGGGATTACAGATGTGAGCCACCTCACCCGGCTGGAAAACGTGGTTTTCTTTGGTAGCAAGTGAGTCCCTGCCTCTCGTGTGTGTGTGTGTGTGTGTGTGTGTGTATGTGTGTGTGTCTGTCTGCCTTGCCTCTTGGACACCAGCAAATGGTGCCAGTGGAGTTCAGGAAATAGTCTTCATTCCACTGCAATTCTCCCTCTTGTTATCTGGAAGCCCAAGCACATCAGACTTTATGTCCTGGAGGAGAGGAGGAGAGAGTCTGGGAGGATAGAAACAGAAGCTATGGGAAACAGGAAGAAAAGATTCTGGAAGCCATGAAAATTATAATAAAGTTGATTTATTATTTTTAGCTTCTACAAATATATAGTATAACATTTACTAAGGAAAAAATCAGAACTCATAAAAATAAGAACTTTAAAAAATACCTATACTCTTATATACTAAAGGCAAATGCTATATATTTAAACATAAGTTTTTTTTCATGAGACAATATGCAGTAATTCTTACGAGAGCATTTTTTGAAATGTAAAACGCAGTACGGTGTCGAAGGGGTCACAGTTGAGAACCGCGCGACGAGGGCGCTGTCCGTGGTGCTGAACCCGTGCAGACGCGAGGAGGAACTTCTCTGAGCTTGTTTGGAAGTTCTAGCAGGGAAGTCCATCCAGATACCTTTATGCCTTTGACAGAAGAATGGTCCTCCTCTATCAGAGAGGGTCGTCCTCTCATCCTCTTCAACTGAGCGTGCAGCATTAGGAGGGACACAAATGGAGCAGCGAGGAAGAAAGGGGACACCTATCTACCCAGCCAGATCAGCCAAATCAATCTTGGCGATCAATGGGGTGACCTATGTTACAGCCATATCACCCTCAAATCTGGAACCTCTTTGAAAAATGAGCATGAAAGCCTAGCCTGATATCATGACAAGCCCGTTGGAGCTTCCGTGGTTTTCTATTTAAGAATCTCCCACCACTGCTGTCTCTCTCCTCTTTCTCCTTGATAAGTACAGGGCTTGTTTCAATTGAGTTCCCATGGAAGTCCCCTTATGGGCAAATGTTCCACCAAGCTTGGCCGGACTGCAATATCCTTACTCCCGGACTTGTCAGCTTCATGCCTTAAAGTGATGTCATCGTCACCTGAGGCCTCTGAATTCGGATCTGAAAAGAGAGATAAAACCAGGTGAGGGCTTGGCGCATGAGGAATTTGGGATTTTGGAAACATAAAAAGGCTTGGGATGGCAAGTATTCAGTTTAATTATTTTTATTATTTTTATTTTTTTGAGACATGGTCTTACTCTGCCATCCAGGCTGGAGTGCAGTGGCACAATCATGGCTCACTGCAGCCTCTAACTTCTGGGCTCAAATGATCCTCCCAGCTCAGCCTCCCCAGTAGCTGGGACTCCATGTTCACACCATGACACCTGGATAATTTTTAAATTTTTCGTGGAGATGAGGTTTTACCATGTTACCCAGGGTGGTCTCAAACTCCTGGCTCAAGTGATCCATCCAAAGTGCTGGGAGCTACCGTGCCTGGCTATTAGTATTATTTTTTTATGCAGAGACAGAGTCTCACTTTGCTGCTCAGGCTCCCAAACTCCTGACTTCAAGTGATCTTCCTGCCCTGGCCTCCCGAAGTGCTGGGATTACAGGCATGAGCCACTGCATCTGACCTAAGTGGTTGGTTTAGAACTCATCCTATGACCTGGATTCTAGCACAAACCAATTTTGTCTTCCCCTCCCTGCCAGGTAGGTTTGCAGGTATCCTGGCTAGAGATTTCATCTTTGCCCCAAAGGGCTGTGTCAAGGGAGCATAGCACCCAAAGCCGTTCACACCTGGTATTTCTCCTCCCCTCAAATATCCATCCAGTTTAAATAATATTAAGGCAATGATCATCAAGGAGTGGTCACCTTTTGCCCATGTGACCAATCTTGGCCTTAATCATGGGGGAACAACCTGATGTTACATACTTGTTGAAGTGAGGCAATAGCAATATCTATGACATAATAAAAATGTTTAATCTGATTTCATTTAAGCCTCTAGACCCAACCTCCAGTATTTCCAAAACTAGAATACTGCTAATACCTCTGATACCTCTGATATTAAGGATGGGGGACAAGTTAGATGACACCATGAAACAAACCGGGAGCATGAGACTTTTTTTTTTTTTTTTTTTTTTTTTTGAGACGGAGTTTCACTCTTGTTACCCAGGCTGGAGTGCAATGGCGTGATCTCGGCTCACCGCAACCTCCGCCTCCTGGGCTCAGGCAATTCTCCTGCCTCAGCCTCCTGAGTAGCTGGGATTACAGGCACGCACCACCACGCCCAGCCAATATTTTGTATTTTTAGTAGAGACGGGATTTCACCATGTTGACCAGGATGGTCTTGATCTCTTGACCTTGTGATCCACCTGCCTCGGTCTCCCAAAGTGCTGGGATTACAGGCTTCAGCCACCTCGCCTGGCCTTTTTTTTGTTTGTTTTTGGAGACACAGTCTCCCTCAGTTGCCCAGGCTGGAGTGCAGTGGCACCATCTCAGCTCACCACAACCTCTGCCCCCTGGGTTCAAGCGATTCTCCTGCATTAGCCTCCTGAGTAGCTGGGACTACAGGCACATGCCATCATACCCAGCTAATTTTTGTATTTTTAGTAGAGACAGGTTTTCACTTTGTTGGCCAGGCTGGTCTCAAACTCCTGACCCTGTGATCTGCCCACCTCAGCCTCCCAAAGTGCTGGGATTACAAGCATGAGCCACAGGGCCTGGCTGAGATATTTTTCAAGACAACTAGCCTAGACTCTTAAAAAATCAATCTATTTAAAAACATAGGAGCCCATTCTAAATCCAAAATACCAAAGAGACATAACAGAAGCCAGTATGTGAAATCTGTTGTATCCACTTCTGAGAAAAATAAAAACTAGTAATAAAAGATGTCCTTGGGCTAATTGGGAAAACTGGCTATCAGATGCTATTGTGGAGTTATTATCAATATATTGGATATAATCATGGTATTAAGAAGTGCACGCTGAAATGGTAAGGGATCAAGTGTCATAATGTTGGCAGCTGACTTCCAAATTACTCAGCAAAAATTAGTAAAGAGATCAATATAAAGAAAGAAACATATGACATGTTAAGTCTTGTGGCACTAGATGGAATATGTAAGTATTTACTGCACTACTATTTTGACTTTTATGTGTGTTTACAAGTTGAAATAACAAATAAGTTGGCCATCAAGAATGTACTTAGAGTAGGGAAGGAAATCTCAGAACCTGAAGCCTCGGAAGTCAAGGGAAGTTGATCCCACCTTGCTACTTGGCTGTTATTCTCCCCCTGAGTTAGGCTTGTTTCCTGGCAGAATGGACCTGGGAGGATTACCTGGACCAATAAACTGTAAACATAGCTTTGTTTCCCTGAAGGTCCTACCATGTAGGAAAGGAGAAGAAAGTCGCAAGGTTGGGAGAGGCCAGCATCCCATCCAGGCCCTTCTTACCTTTGTTTCAGGGTCTATGTGGCCCAGGGAGGGCTGGAAATTACTGTAGATGGAGTCCAGGTGGATGGAATCATTTTCTTCTAGAGAGATGAAAAACCCCATGGAAACAGGAGGTTAGAAGGACAAACTTTCATCTCTCCCTTTAATCCCATTCAATGGAGGTTAAGGGAGTTTGTCCCCACCCTTAGGAAACTGAAAACCATTGAAAATGTGACAAACTATCAACATTACCTGACTCAGAAGCTTTGTAATACAGGCATATTAAGGCTATGAATTTTCTTCTGAGTACAGCTATAGCTGCATCTCACAAGTCTTGATACTAAGTACTTTCTCACTTTAACTATAATCTCTTATCTGATTCATACATTATTAAGAAACTTAAAAAATTTTTCCAAAGATATGGGAGATTGTACTAATTGAGCATACAAATTAGACTTGTGTCTAACAGAGTAAGCCATTTCCTAATATTGAACATTTTTGTCTCTAGTAATTCTCTTTGCTTTAAAGATCATGTGCCTGCAATGAGTATAGCCATACACAAAACAACAGATACATTGTTTACCGTTACCCTGTTTTGTATTTTTGTATTTTCCACACTTTTGTTTCCAAGCTTTGTGTTTCTATTTCATATATGCCTCTCATCCACAGCAGATACCTAGATTTTTTAAAAATTCCTTTTTTAACTAAAGTTTAATCTACTTATATGTATTATGATTCATGATATATTTGCATTACTTCCTATCATTTTGTTTTGTGTTTTCTATCTGTCCTATCTTTTCTCCTTCTCCTTCTCCTTCTAAAAGAAGACGGAATCTTGCTCCATCACCCGGGCTGGAGTTTCAGCTCACTGCAGCCTTCACCTCCAGGGTTCCAGCAATTCTCCTGCCTCAGCCTCCTGAGTAGCCGGGATTGCAGGTGCCTGCCACCGTGCCCAGCTAATTTTTTGCATTTTTAATAGGGATAGGATTTCACCATATGGTCCAGGCTGGACTCATCCTGACCTCAAGTGATCCACCTGCCTCAGCCTCTTTTTTTTTTTTTTTTTTTTAAGAGATAGGGTTTTGCTGTGTTGTTGCCCAGGCTGATCTCAAGCTCCTGGCCTCAAGCAATCCTCCTGCCTTGGCCTCTCAAAGTGCTGGGATTACAGGCGTGAGCCCACTGCACCCAGCCTGTTTCCACATTTTGAGCCATTGAGTTCAGAGAGGAAGGCCAATACCTTGGGAGATGTCAAAGCCAATGTTTTGGAATGTTCCAGGAGCTGGTTCACCTTTCTCTTCTTGCCACTTGTACAGCTGAGACAATTTGGACTTTTGCCTGTGAATGGAAACACCAGAGAGACCCTGTTAGCGTTGGGGAACAGGAACAAGGACCAGGGACAAGCTGTATCCCCATTTTTAGCTCCCCCACTGTCCACCTCGAGGATGAAGTGATTAGAGGCAGAAGGATCAGAGGAGGAGGAGGAGCTGGAGGGAGCTGGAAGAGGAGGTGGTAGGGCCTCACTCACCGTTTCACCTCTCTCCTGGAGCGGAAAGTGAGTATCAGGAGAGCTATCAGGATGATCAGCACCAGCACGCACCCTGCCCCCACAAGCCCGTACACCAGACTCTTCTGGATGCCCTGGTCACAGGCTTCCCCTCTGTACCAGTGAGTTTCCGTGGTCACGCAGCTGAGATGGAGAGAAGGGACAGTGTGGGAGAGAGAACAGAGTCAGCACCAGCTTCAGACCTGGGCCCTGCCCCTTGGGTGTTTAACGAGGAGGAGGTGAGAAGAGATTGGCAGGGGACCTAAAGCAAGGTACCCTGTGGGGGTGAACATAGATGAAGGCCAGCGTCCCTGGAGCTGGTCCTCAAATGAGCTCAATTCCCACTCCAGGCTTTTAGGTTTTCTTCCAGTTGCAACCCAGAACCTAGGACAGTTGGTCCAACCTGGGTCTTCCCTGGGCTGCACCCCCAGGGACTCCAGGACCCCACAGTGACTTTTGCACCCACCCATTAACCACCTCACTTTCAGCCCTCCTCTATTGCAGGAAGGCCAGGCTGCAGACTGATCCAAAGCTTCTATTATACCCCTGAAGCTCTTCCTCCCGGCTACCTGGAGATGCTTCTCTAAGCCCTGTTCCTTTCTTCCCCTTTCCGGCTTGTGACTGCCTTTTCCAGGAAGCCTTCCCAAACTAACAACTCAGGTCTTTGCATACATGCGGCTTCTTCCTGCACTGGGTGCTCCAGCTGGTCTCTCTCTTTGGTTCTGTTTCAAGTAGCAGTGTTTTTCTGAACTTTCCTACCTCTGTGACTAGGCTTTAGCACTTCTCCCCACTCCCCGTATGGATGTGTGGCCTTCTGTTTCTATTCCACCAGCAGAGGATCTTACTCTCCCTCTGGAAGCAAGGCTCTCTCTCTGTTCCCCTGTCGGACAACCTTTCCAGGAGGCTGTCACTGTCCTCAGCCCTCCTCAGCACAGAGAGGACGCGGGGGAGGGCTGGGGCTGTTATGGACACAGGCTTGGGGCTCAGCTACTCGTGTCTTTCCCCACCCCCAACCCAATTCCTCTGCAGCTGGACACATTCAGGAGAGGCTGAGACCTAGTCCCAAGACCTTGGCCTCTAGGCAGTGCCTGGGGAGAAGCCCTGCAGGGGATGGGGAGGACCAGGACGTGTGGGCTGGTCTAGAAGAGATGGGGAAGCACTCACTAGCACCGGGGGCCACTTCGAAGCAACTGGCACTTGCCGAAGTTACAGTTCTTGGAGGCCTTGTAGCCGGACTCGCAGGGGCTGATGCATTTTGGTTGCTGGTCCTGGTATTCCACCAGGAAGTAGTCTTCATAGTCCGGCCCGGCTGCCTTCCGGCATTCAGCTGGTGGGGGTGCGGGGACAGGGAGCAGCATGACCAGGGTGCTGGGGGGGCACTGCCCTGCTCCTCCTGGGCTCCCCCATCTCCAGCCTTCCCCCAAACCCCTTGTGTTATCACCCACCTTCAGCGTCGTACTGGGCCATCGTGATGTTTTGCACCTGGGTACCACTGGTGTTGTAACACAGCAAGGCTGTGAAGGAGACACATAAAACCCCTCATGACACACACATGCTTGTTTTGCATCCTCAGGGAGCTGAGGGGTATGTGTGTGTGTGTGTGTGTAGAGGGTGGGTGGCTATGGGGAGGTGGGAACCTGGCCCCTGCAGAGGTCAGCATCAGCCTCACATCTGGTGACCCTCCAAGTGTCCTGAGCCCCCCTGTGCCCTTTTGGTCCCAAACCTCCATTTTCTTTCTTTCCTTCCTCCCTCTTTTCCTTCCTTCCTTCCTTTCTTTTTTCTTTCTTTCTTTTCTCTCTCTCTCTCTTTCTTTTTGAGACAGAGTCTCACTCTGTCACCAGGCTGGAGTGCAGTGATGCAATTTCAGCTCTCTGCAGCCTCCACCTTCCAGGTTCAAGTGATTCTCCTGCCTCAGCCTCCCAAATAGCTGGGGCTACAGGCATGCACCACCATGCCCGGCTGGTTTTTTGTTTTTTTGTTTTTTTCGAGATGAAGTCTCACTCTGTCGCCCAGGCTGGAGTGCAGTGGTGTGATCTCGGCTCATGGCAACCTCCACCTCCTGGTTCAAACAATTCTCCTTCCTCAGCCTCCTGAGTAGCTGGGATTACAGGCGCGTGCCACCACACCCAGCTAATTTTTGTATTTTTAGTATAGACAGGGTTTCACCATGTTGGTCAGGCTGGTCTCAAATTCCTGACCTTGTGATCCACCTGCCTTGGCCTCCCAAAGTGCTGGGATTACAGGCGTGAGACACCATGCCTGACCTTTTGGCCTTTTTTTTTTTTTTTTTTTGAGACTGAGTCTTGCTCTGTCACCCAAGCTAGAGTGCAGTGGTGCAATCTCAGCTCACTGCAACCTCTGCTTCCTGGGTACAAGCAATTCTTCTGCTGTAGCCTCCTAAGTAGCTGCGACTACAGGTACCCACCATCATGTCCGGCTAATTTTGTATTTTTAGTAGAGACAAGGTTTCACCATGTTGACCAAGCTGGCTTCAAACTCCTGGCCTCAAGTGATCTGCCTGCCTCGGCCTCCCACAGAGCTGGGATTACAGGCGGGAGCCACCACAGCTGCCCAATGCCACCTTCTCCCCTCTTCTGCCATGATCCACACACTTAGACGAACCCCTGTGTAACAGAGCCCATTGGTCCCCATTTCCAGCAGACGCTCCTGTCCTGTACGCCTTAGTCCTGGTGCCCTGGATGACCTGGCCTGTTTATATGTCTGCCCTTGCAGGCTCTGGGATGAATTCCTTGGTATCTCCACATTCTACTCTCTCTGTCTGCCTTTGTCCCTTCCCCTACCCCAGGGACAACATGGGCCAGAGGATGACAAAGGTGAAAGGCTCTCTTGGCCCAATCCTGGGGCTTCCTTGAGCTGCACCCCCAGGGACTCTAGGACCCCACAGTGACTCTTGCACCCGCCCGTTAGCCATCCTTACTCTGAGCCCTCCTCTCTACTAAGAGAGTCACGCCCCAGCCCTGATGCCCTCTCCCTTCCCTCCCTCCCTGGAAGCCCAGGAATTTACCTGTGCAATTTTCATTAATCATTATTTGCTCCTCAGTCACTTTGGTGATTTTTTCTTTCACAACCATGCTGGCATTGTTCAACACTGTCTCGAATGCTGGTGTGTACTTGGTTCTTAGGAGGACCTCATGCTCCACCACCACACTGCCATGCCTGAGGAGGGAGGGGAAGACGTCCTCAGGTAAGAACCGGTGCTTATCTCTCAAATCCTGTCCCAGGCAGCCTTCACCCTCTTTCTCTCTCTCTCTCTCTCTCTTTTTTTTTTTTTTTTTTGAGACAGAGTCTTGCTCTGTGACCCAGGCTGGAGTGCAGTGGCGCAATCTCAGCTCACTGCAACCTCCGCCTCCCAGGTTCAAGTGATTCTCCTGCCTCAGTCTCCTGAGTAGCTGGGACTACAGGCAATTGCCACCACATCTGGCTAATTTTTGTAATTTTAGTAGAGAGGGGGTTTCATCATATTGTTCAGGCTGGTCTCGAACCCCTTTCCTCAGGTGATCCACCCACCGCAGCCTCCCGAAGTGCTGGGATTACAGGCGTGAGCCACTGCGCCCGGCTGGCTTCACCCTCTCTGGTCCCAAGGGAAGGCAGAGCGGGGGGCAGGACAGTTGAGGTGATGGCTCTGTCCTAGGCACTGCACTGGGTCTCTTGCTACAGGACTTCTCCCAGCAGCCTGTGCCTAAGAGAACTTTCTACAAAGGGAGGCTCCAGGAAGTCTTAGGGAAGCTTCAGTGATGAAGACGGATGGAGGATTGGAACTACAGAAGAGGCCATCCTTGAGGTTTTGGGGTTTTTTGCTGCAGACACAGAGTCTTGCTCTGCTGCCCAGGCTGGAGTGCAGTGGTGCCATCCTGGCATACTCTAGCCTCTGACTCCTGGGCTCAGGTGATCCTCCCGCCTCAGCCTCCTGAGTAGCTATGTCTCCAGGTGCACACCACCGTGCCCTGCTAATTTTGGTATTTTTTGGAGAGACAAGGTCTTGCTCCATTGTTCAGGCTGTTCTCGAACTCCTGGCCTCAAATGATCCTTCCACCCCGGCCTCCGAAAGTGCTGGGATTACAGATGTGAGCCACTGTACCTGCTGCCACCTACATTGATATATTGAAGCCCTAACCCCCAGAAGCTCAGAAGGTGACTGTATTTGGAGATAGGGGCTTTACAGAGGTGATTAAGTTAAAATGAGGCCGTTAGTGTAGGCCCCATCCAGTCTGACTGGTGTCCTTATAAGAAGGGGAAATTTGGATATGCAGAGGCAGCAGGGAGGTGTGCACAGAGGAAAGGCCATGCAAAGACACAGCAAGAAGGTGGCCATCCACGAGCCAAGGAGAGAGGCCTCCAGAGAAACCACCCACCCACACCTTCGTCTTGGACCTCCAGCCTCCAGAACTGGGAGAAACAGACTTCTGTTGTTTAAGCCACCCTGTCGGTGGTATTCTGTGAGAGCCGAGCACAGTAATGCAGGGGCACCGTTCCAATTGCCTTTATAATTATGACTGCTGCTTCCATGCCACAGACCCTCTGCCCACGGCCCAGACACTCACCGTAGCTTTGTGATGTTCACCCCGGCATACTCAGGGATATCGGCGTACACACGGTTCATCTGAAAGGCAAGGGGCCACTGTGTCATCCCAGCGGACCCATGGGGACTTTCCGTGGGACATCAGGGCACAGGACCTGTCCCAGGGCATCACAGCAGACTTGCCACGTGCAGTGGTCCCTTTCCAGAGACCTGCTCCACCCAGGGCCTCCTGCAGACCCCAGATAAAACCTGGCCTCATCTTTTCCCTCCTCCACTGGCAAGCCCTGGGGACATGGGAACTGGAGAAAACTCCTGTGCATCTAACAAGGGAATAGCCCCCAGCTGCCTCCTTAACCCTACAGACTCTGCTCTGGGGGAACGGAGTGGCCATGGGGCCTTGCTCTCCCAGACTTACCTCTTCCGTGAATGTCTTGTTGAAATTCTTGAATTCCTCGGAAGAGTGGTCATTCAGCTCATCGGAGAACTTCACACTGGTCACTGTCACAGTCATTTCCATTTGGGCGGAGACTGTCTGTGGCGGCACTGAGGAGGGTAGGCTTACTGAGCTAAGCATCCCTGAGTTTCCTACTCAGAAGATCTGCTCCGCAGCTTGGGTGGAGGGAGTGACCTCCATTGTACTTTATGGTAAAATTCTGTGCCAAATTTGTGTCAAAAATACACCTTCTTGTTTTATTCATTTCCCCTTCCTTCCCTCCTTCCTTCCTTCTTTCCTTCCTTCCTTCTTCCCCTCCCTCCCTCCTTCCTTCCCTCCCTCCTTCCTTCCCTCCTTCCCTCCTTCCCTCCTTCCCTTATTTCCCTTCCTCCCTTCCTTCCCTTCCTTCCCTCCTTCCCTTCCCTTCCTTCCCTCCTTCCCTCCTTCCCTTATTTCCCTTCCTTCCCTTCCTTCCCTCCTTCCCTTCCCTTCCTTCCCTCCTTCCCTCCTTCCCTCCTTCCCTTCCTTCCCTTCCTTCCCTCCTTCCCTCCTTCCCTCCTCCCCTCACATCAAGGTGGGGCAGGAACTGGTGCCTATGTGGAGGCCAGGTCCCAGGGCACAGGGAGGGGTTGGGGGGAGGGCCTGGGGTTGCACTTACTTATGTCAAGGGTGTTGGACACCTCCTCACAGAGCTCCCCAATGTAGGGGGAGCGACACTGACACTTGAGCCCATCCCAGGAGCCTCCGTTCTTGCAGACAACGGCCGCGTACTGGCACCGATCTCCATTATAGCCAGAGAGGCACTCACAGGAGTCTCCTGTCCACTTTCCTCCATTGAAGCACTGCGCTGAAAGGAACAGGGATCTACTGTGGTTACATGTTGAGCACCGCACTTTACAGCTGATGATGCGTTTGCACAGACACCGCCTCATTTGTTTTTTTTTTTTTTTTTTTTTGAGACGGAGTTTCGCTCTTGTTACCCAGGCTGGAGTGCAATGGCGCGATCTCAGCTCACTGCAACCTCCGCCTCCTGGGTTCAGGCAATTCTCCTGCCTCAGCCTCCTGAGTAGCTGGGATTACAGGCAGGTGCCACCATGCCCAGCTAATTTTTTGTATTTTTAGTAGAGACGGGGTTTCACCATGTTGACCAGGATGGTCTTGATCTCCTGACCTCATGATCCACCCGCCTTGGCCTCCCAAAGTGCTGGGATTACAGGCGTGAGCCACCGCGCCCGGCCTGTTTTTGTTTTTTGAGACCGAGTTTCACTCTTGCTGCCCAGGCTGGAGCGCAATAGCACGATCTTGGCTCACTGCAACCTCCGCCTCCCGGGTTCCAGTGATTCTCCTGCCTCAGCCTCCTGAGTAGCTGGGATTACAGGCGCACTATCATACCCGGCTAATTTTTTTTTTTTTTTTAAGATGGAGTCTCTCTCTGTCTCCAGGCTGGAGTGCAGTGGTACGATCTCAGCTCACTGCAGCCTCTGCCTCCCAGGGTTCAAGTGATTCTCCTGCCTCAGCCTCCCAAGTAGCTGGGATTACAGGCAAGCACCACCATGCCCAGCTAAGTTTTATATTTTTAGCAGAGACAGGTTTCACCATGTTGGCCAGGTTGGTCTTGAACTCCTGACCTCAGGTGATCCACTCACCTCAGCCTCCCAAAGAGCTGAGATTACAGGTGCGAACCCCCACTGCCTAATCTGATACTCTTGTGAGACTCTGGGGTGCACAGGACAGTTAATATTACCCTCACTTCACAGACGGACAAAGTAAGGCAGAGAGAGGCTAAGCCATCTCCCCACGGGTCCACATGCAGGTGACACTCCAGCCAGTCCTAGTCCAGCATGCTTGACTTCAGCCCAAAAACATGAAGAAAGAGAAACCTGGTATTGTGAGAGGTGAGAGGCTGAGGAAGAGAAAACCCAGGTGAACCTGACCCACCTAGAGTCCACCCAGGTTGAGAATGAGATGGCCATTGTCCCTCAACACCCGCTTTGGAAGAGCCTGTACTGTCAGTCATGGCTGCTGTGACTCTTTTTCATCCTTTTTTAATTTACTGGGATGTGGAGTTTGAGGGAGGAGTTTAGATCTTATTTTATTTTTTATATATTTATTTATTTTTGAGACAGTCTCACTGTCTCACTCAAGCTGGAGTGCAGTGATGCAATCGTGGCTCACTATCGCCTTGAGCTCCTGGGCTTGAGCAATCCTCCCACCTTAGCCTCCCAAGTCACTGGGACTGCAGGCATGCATCACCATGCCTGGCTAATTTTTAAATTTTTTCTGTAAAGATGGGGTCTTACTCTGTTGCCCAGGCTGGTCTCAAACTTCTGGCCTCAACCAATCCTCCAGTCTCAGCCTCACAAAATGCTGGGATTGCAGGTGTAAGCCATCATGCTCAGCCTAACAACTCCTTTTTGTTTTTTTATTTTGTTTTTTGAGATGGAGTCTCACTCTGTCGCCCAAGCTGGAGTGCAGTGGTGTGATCTCAGCTCACTGCAACCTCCACCTCCTGAGTTCAAGTGATTCTCCTGCCTCAGCCTCCTGAGTAGCTGAGATTACACGCACACACCACCACGCCCAGCTAATTTTTGTATTTTTAGTGGAGACAGGGTTTTGCCATATTGGTCACGCTGGTCTCAAAATCCTGACCTTGTTACCCACCCACCTCAGCCTCTCAAAGTGCTGGGATTACAGGCGTGAACCACTGCTCCTGGCTAGCAACTCCTTTTTAAATTGCAATACAACAAATAAACTCCTCTTGGTTTAAATAGGTAGGAAGTAGTGATAGCCAACTCTCAAGTATCTGTGCCAACCTGCAAAATCTTTTATTATTTTTTTTTGAGACGGAGTTTTGCTCTTGTTGCCTGGGCTGGAGAGCAATGGCACGATCTCAGCTCACAACCTGTCTCCCGGGTTCAAGGGATTCTCCTGCCTCAGCCTCCGGAGTAACTGGGATTATAGGCATGCGTCACCACACCCAGCTAATTTTATATTTTTAGTAGATATGGGGTTTCTCCAAACATGGAGAAACAGTCAGGCTGGTCTTGAACTCCTGACCACAAGGTGATCCGCCCACCTCAGCCTCCCAAAGTGCTAGGATTACAGGCATGAGCCATGACACCTGGCCCAACCTGGAAAATCTAAAGCTCTATTCTCTTTGGCTTTTATTGAAAATTGCTGTGCCTGGGTAGATCAGTATTAAAGCTATGTTTTGTCTGGGGAAGTGCAGGAGGTATGTATAGACTCTGCAAACACGTGTCTCATCTCTGCCTTCTGGCTTACCCTAAACAGACTCAGAGAGCAGGACCCACGCTCATGGAAATCACATCATGCAGCCTCTGTTTATGGGCTTTTGCTCCAAGACGTTTGGAAAGAACAGAAGAGAGAAGTCAAGAGTCCTGGGCACACCGGACATCCTTACATACGCACCAGACATCCTTCATCAGTCTCCTCCTCCCTCCATCTCTCTCCCTCTTTCATTACTAAAGATGCCCAGACCTGAGCTAAGTGCCAAAACACAGGCTAGTTAGAAGCAACAGAAGCAGATGCTGGGGCGTGTTCACACATTGCTCAACAGTGTAAAGGGAAGGCCAATCTCTGGGGAAGAGGAGGAAGACAGAAGGAAGACAGTCCGCTTTCAAAGATACAACCGACACCAGATAGTGGGTCCAGCGGCATTACAGCGGCCTGTCCTTTGCCGAGACACCTTCGAGGCTTTCTGGAAATACAAGGTCCAGATCTCCCACCTGAAAATGCTCAGACCACTCATTGGAGAATCAGAGTGCTCAAGAAGACAAAGACATATTGGAGAGCATCCAGAGAGAAAAGCCATATGACAGAAAGTCCAGCCGGGCACGGTGGCTCACGCCTGTAAGCCCAGACTTTGGGAAACCAACGTAGGTGGATTACCTGAGGTCAGGAGTTGGAGACCAGCCTGGCCAACATGGTGAAACACGATCTCTACTAAAAATACAAAATTTAGCTGCGCATGGTGGCGGGCATCTGTAATCTCAGCTACTCAGGAGGCTGAGGCGAGAGAATCCCTCAAACCTGGGAAGCAGAGGTTGCAGTGAGCTGAGATCTTGCCACTGCACTCCAGCTGGGGCAACAAGATTAAAACTCCATCTCAAAAAAAGAAGAAGAAGAAGAAAAGAAAAAAAAGTCCAGGCAAAGTAGAATTCAGCAGAGGAAGAAATCACAAAGTCCAGAGAAACTGTAGCAGCCAAAAACTGAAGAACCATCCTTCATTGTCATCAATTCAAGATGGGATTGGGCAGTTCTGTGGGCAGACACAGATCATATATCTGTGAGCCTATTCATCTAAATAAATCAGTGTTTCCAAGTATTTTAATTAGCATGCTTTAAAAAATGCATGAGGGTCAGGCACCGTGCCTCATGCCTGTAGTCCCAGCACTTTGGGAGGCCAAGGCAGGTGGATCACAAGGTTAGGAGATCAAGACCATCCTGACCAACATGGTGATACTCCATCTCTACTAAACATACAAAAACTTAGCCAGGCGTGGTTGCAGGCGCCTGCAGTCCCAGCTACACAGGAGGCTGAGGTAGGAGAATCTCTTGAACCCTGGAGGCAGAGGTCGCAGTGAGCTGAGATCATGCCACTGCACTGCAGCCTGGGCGACTGAGCAAAACTCAGTCTCAGGAAAAAAAAATGCATGCAAAATATTCTTAATCTGGGAGTCATACTCACAGGTCTATTAATATATTATGTGATTCATGTAATACAATATACAGGGTATTATAATAGCAAGTAAGAAATGGAGCAAATCTCAAACTAACAAGAGAAAAGAAAGCGGAGTGAAAGTTTTAGTCAGAGAAAGGAGAGGGATACATAAGGACAGCAAAACATTCACAGGCATTGGAGGTGGAGTTCAGAGCTGATAGAAGTGAAGGACCTTTTTTTTTGCTTCTATAGTCAGTGCTCAGGGGATAAGAGAAATCAAAATAAAAGTGAATGGTGGCAGAGACAGTTGTCACAGTTACACATGAATGAGATGGCAACAGCCTTCTGCAAAAAAAAAAAAAAAAAGTTCGTACTTTAGTATGAACAAAATCAATGAGAAAATCCACTAGAAAGTTTACAAAGTAAACTAAAAAGTTTAAAAGAAAACATAAATAAACCACTCAGATTTAATAATCTTCGGGCATACAAAGTGCAATGGAACAGGGACCTGCAGAATACAAAAGAGAGAAAACAGGACTTGTGGACAGAACACCACAGATTGAGATGCCCAGACAAGGAGTGGTCACGCTTTGTTCAAAATAGTGGAACTTGTGCAAGAAACAGCAAGGCAAGATAGGAGAAGCGAGAGAGTGCTGAGACGGAGAACCTCGATGCAGGTTTTATCAAATGGAAAACAAGTAAGTCAGAGCAAAAGGAGTTTAGCAAAATGTTTAAGAAGAAAACCACAAAATGTAGGGAGTGGAGATTGAAAAATAATGTCAGTTTCAAAAAGGAAAATTCAAGAAATGACTTACGTGGTGTGGTTGTTGGCACAGCAGGAGTTGAGGTGGCTGTGCTCTTAATTGTGGAAGTAGTCCTGGGGACAGTGGTGGTGGTCACCGTGGGGGAGGAAGTGATCCGTGTACTGGAATTTGTCCTGGTGGTCATGGTAGTGACAGTGGCAGTGGTCACAGGCGTTGGGGAGGCAGACGTGGTTGAAGGTGTACTGGAGTGACCAGGAGGAAACACGGGTGGGACGGTGTGAGAAGATATTGCTGACGACATGCTGGATTCTGACAGAGGGGTCACAGAACGGGTGATGACGGAAATAGAGGTGTGAGGCGTACTGGCTGCAGAAAGAGTTGATGTAGAGGTAGTGGAGCCTCTGATGGTTGTGCTGGGTGTGCTGGGGGCAGTAGACACGGTCACATACGTGAGGGTAGTGGCAGTAGTCACTGCAGTTGTTGTAAATTCCTTCGTAGTAGGAATGGTGGTGCCCTCCAGAGTGGTAGGAGATGAACTGGCTTCGGTAGAAGTGGTCACAGGTGTGCGGGTGTCAACAGGAGGGCTTGAACGTGTGCGAGCCTCAGAACTAGTCACATGGGCGGTGCTGAGAGTGCTTCCTTCACTCAGAGTGGACAGAGGCATGGTGGTGCCCTCTAGAGTTATGGAAGATGAACTGGCCTGGGTATCCGTGGTCACCTGGGAGCTGGTGCCGTCAGGAGAGGTTGACAGGGTGCTGGCCTCAGTAGTTACCCCAGGTGTGGCAGTGGCAGGCTCGGTGGTTGGTGGTGTGCTTCCTCCAACAGGAGAGGTTGAATGCGTGGTGGCGCCTCCAGGACTGATAGGGGAGGAACTGGACTGAGTAGACGTAACCAACAGTGAGCTGGTGCCTGCAGGAGTGGTTGCTGGCGTGCTGGCCTCGGTCATGGCCCCAGGTGTGCTGGTGGCAAGCTCAGTGGTTGATGGATTGCTTCCTCCACCAGGAGTGGTTGAGGATGTGGTGGAGCCTCCAGGA